TTTATGTTCGGGTTGACTCGCAAAAAAATTTGTGTCGTCTTCATGTTGGAAAAAATGACACATAGAAAATTCATACCGAGTCACATGTCGTGTCGTGTCAACACGAATTCGACCCATATTTTTTATTGTTTTTTAATTTCAACCCATTTTTTAAATTTTTTTTGGTTAATTACCGTTTTGACCATAATTTGCATGTCATTCGTGTCGTGTCGTGTCAACCCGCAAAAAATTCATGTTATGTTTGTGTCGAAGATTCTGACACGAATTCTCGTGTTCATGTAGTGTCAAATTCGTGTCCTATCGACCTATTTTGACACCCCCACAAAATTCTACTCCTACTATGTAACTCATCTATCAATAAAGGATTAAGCTAACCAAGTATATATTTCGAACTCTATTCTCTTTTAGTTGTCTCCGTGCACACAGTCACGCCTTCGGCTATACGCTATTATTATTGTGCATAGTGATCTGTTGCCCCTTGCAGCATCTCTTCCATGAACTTATGTGAGGGTATTGATCTAAGATATAATTATCAAGCATTGGTTGGACATCCCAATCCTCTTGTATCTAGGGATGTGCATGGGTCGAACTGAACCAGATTTTTTGAAAAATCGAACCGAATTGGTTTAAATGGTTTGGTTCGAATGTGGTTCGGTTCGGTTCGGAAGTGGTTTGGAACCGGTTCGAAACTGGTTCGAAACCGGTTCGGGTCGACCTTCTTTTGAAAAAAAAATTAAAAAAATTAAAAATAAAGTTATAAAAATTAATTTGGTTCGGTTTGAGAATGGTTCGGTTCGGTTCGGAAACGGTTCGGTTATTAAACTGGTTCTAAAAACCGGTTCGGTTCTTAAACTGGTTCGGTTCTTAAACCGGTTCTAAAAATTAGTTCGGTTCATGAACTGGTTTTTAAAAATCGGTTATTTTATGGGGCGGTTCGGTTCGATTCGATTCATGATTTGACTCAATTTTTTGGTTATTTTGCACACCCCTACTTGTATCGAACCCTTTTAATAAAAAAAATTATGATATTTCCATTTAAATACTTATGAAAAAAAAGATCGATAATTTTTTTCATATAAATTTATTTTGTAAAATTTTAATCTGAAAAATCTATTTTCATTATTATTCGAAAAGAAACTAATTTGAATATTGGAATATTTCATTTTTTGTAAATAATTTGATGTTATACTGCTCCTAAGCCTTCTCACAAACTCGACGCCAATCACTACTCTATGGCAGAAATATCTTTCTTGAGCAATTCTTTGATATACTATTATTTTTTCAAATTTCAGCGTATTTTTTTTAATTAAAAAATATACGCTAAAATTTGAAAAACTAACAGGACAAAAATATGTTTGGTTCTAGATTCAAAACGGGTTAGAGGACAATACAAAGGACGGGAAAAAAAATAAAAATATAAACAAATTTTTTTTTTTTTTGTAATACAAAATATAAACAAATATTAATACAAATAATACAACTTTCGTTAGACTGCATGCACCAGCAATACACAATAAAAAAATATAAAAAAATGTTAAAATAAATTTCACATTCTTCTATTGAGCACTTCGGGATATTAATCAAAAGCGCAAATTTAATTGTGAAAATTTGTATTGTGACTTATCTATATATTTATCATATGCTGTCCCTTAGCGTGCATAAAAAACATTCCTAAAGTAGGAGAAATTTTTTGTTTTGTACTATTTATTTATCTTTTAGAAATACGTTTTGTACTTTTATAATGTGGATTATTTCATCATTATAGACATTAATCTCCCAATTTAACTGATAATATACATTCAATTATATAGGATAAGATAAATCTTTTGCTCTGATAAAGAGATGAAAATTCTCAAATTATAATTCTGGACTCCATAATTCTCCAAAAGAAAACAATAATAATAATTCTGAACTCCATCAAAATTTGTAACAATTTATTTATAGAGCGACGGTATATTTTTGGTGCAAAATAATTTCAATGAAAGTTATTACGAATGAGCACTGACCAATCAGGCATTCAATGATTATAAATGAAGGGTAGTCAAAGTTTCAAATATAACTGTCAAAAGAAAACAAACATAATTACATAGTGGGATTTACTAATAACATGTTACATGATATAATATTCTCATGTGGGTAACACAAATATGTGGGGTTTATAATTTAAAAAGAAAAAAAATATAAAAAAATAGAGACGAAATTCTAGGATATATGACATAAGATAATTTTTTTATACAACATGATGCTATTATTTCCGTTACATTATTGGTGGCATTCCATTCTATATCATCCAGCACTAATATTTTATTTATAAGATGCATTAAATCCAACTAATTCATGTATATTTTGAAGAAGAAAAAAATCGTGGGAATTAACACTTTTCATTAGATTTATGAGAAAAACTTGTGGAGGGCCAACTTTATCATTAAATGGCCATACATTATTTGGTTAAACCAAAAAATTATATTTTCGCAAAAGACTAACCCAATTAAAATCATTAAATTCAATTCATGAGGAATTTATAGAGTTATTAATGCATTTTAAGTGTAAACCTCCGATATATAGAGGCCAAAATATAATTTCTAATTTGATGATTGGCTAAATTAGTAGTTAAGGATATTGCTCACAGCTATGTAAAGATTGGTTGTAGTTTTTAAAGCTTGAAAGATCACCCATTTTTTAATCAGAAATTTCATCCATCACTATGGATTTAGGTTAACTTCCACTCTTTATATTTTTTTTTCTGATTATTTGATATGAACTGTCCTAGATGATAAATCTTGGAATTAGGTAATAATTTTTATCTCCATGCTTCAAAATTCCAACAACATGCTTTTTACTTTTTTTTCATAGAAATTAAGGGTAAATGATTTCTCCAGTCAACAGAGATAAGTTATTTTCAGTGAGTCTAAAATGATGTCATTTTAGGATGAAAATCAATGTATTTTTGTAATTATAATATATTGCAGGGTTATATTAGTCTTTATCATTATAATTTTTTAATCTTATAACTCAAAACGACATCGTTTTAAGCTCACTGAAGATAATTTTATCTTCTATGACTGGAGAAATATTTTCTCAAAACTTAAAGTATAAAAATAATATGAAACTTTTGATGCGTCAAAGACTTAAAATCACTACTCAAAAAATTATCAGGAATTGTGAAAATCGAGGCTTAGAAAAAAAAAAGTGAACTATTTGATTTTAAGTGCAATACTTACAGTCTTATACACTACAAATTTGTAATCATCTTACTTATAGGATGCAGTGAACCTAACATATTCATATATGTTCTTAAAAACATTTGTGAACTATCACCGTCATTAAATTTCAAAAACAAATTGTTTAAAAAAAAAAAACGTGAACTATTTGATTTTAAGTGCAGTACTTATAGTCTTATACACTACAAATTTGTAATCATCTTAATTATAAGATGCAATGAACCTAACATATTCATATATGTTCTTAAAAATATTTTGTGAACTATCACCGTCATTAATTTTCGAAAACAAATTGTTTCAAAAAGAAAAAAAATCGAAAACAAAAAATTGACAAGACAAACGCGCGTCACGCACATTAAAAAGCAACTCCCTTGACGTGTTCAAATATTAGAAGACTATGAAACGTGTAACTCATTACCAAATAAGGAATAATATAACTTGTAGAGATGTAAAATTCAATTTCATTGACCAAAATAATCTTAGGTTGCCAAAGTAAACTCATTGGCGAAGCTACTTTTAGAAGGTAATAAAACATTTACCTTTCCTTAGTAGGAACTTTTTAAACTAATATTTATCAGTAAAATGTCAACATTTTTAAATATTACTTTATTGGTTACCTCTGTGCTTAATTAATACATTTTTCATAAACAAAGATAATAAATTAAAAAGTTATCAAATGGCTATGTAACTTGTCTCTCCAAACAGATAAAATCAAAGAGTTAGGGTCAAAGATAATGTGAAATTAATTCAAACTAATTAGTTTTTGTATTATGACAAAATGAATTAATTAACGCTTGAATCTGTGTAAGGTATTCAAATTTACAATATTACTTGATGTGATTCAACTTTTAAGTCATCGAATATTCTCTGTCATGTAGATTGCACAACAAAATTGACAAGATTCATTATACTCCGGTGTCAAAAAAATAAAAAAGGCCAAAAATCATCATATTCTGAAAAAAAGAAAAAAAACAAGCAAATAAAACAAAACATGATGATCTTCTATTATTGCATAGTCTAAGTGAACATTTGTTTATTTCCACTATTTGGTTAAATTTTATGAACTTTTCAAAACATTCTCAACTAAATTCAGATTTAGATACTTTTGCTCCCCTCACATACCATGTCCCATGTCCCAAGTCCCAACTAGTATTTCAGAAGCAAAATAGTAACCGATGACGTGGACACTTGACAACAAAAAGCCAGGTAAGTATTTAAATTTTCTTTTTTTAAAAAAATAATAAAAAATGCTGACAAAAAGTTAAGATTCCTAAACCAGGAGAGCCAGCTTAGAAAACAAAACCCCATTGGCAGCATGGCTGCACCACCTTGCCAAGTGTTGTTAAAATCTAAGCAATTTGATTAGCCCATGGTTAATTGACCCAGTTAAACTTCAACCCAAGGTTAAAGCATTTCTTCACTTCCCACCACACCCAGAATTACAGATTCAATTGCATATTTTTATATATATATATATATTTTTTTTCTCCTCCTTTTAATCCTCACCCTATTTCCTTTCCTTCTTTCACTGTCTCATGTTCTGCCTTTCTCTATGATTTGGTAAACCACTTTAGGTAACCAGATTACTACTATTACTACAAATACAAAGATGGTATCATAGAATCTACCAGAAGAGGGGAAAGAGAAGACTTGGTAACACATTCAAAGGCCATTTTTTTTTTTGTCTAATTCATCTCCAAGGACACACACACACGTTGTGTTCTTTCTTTTTTTTTGGACCAAAAAGTTGGTATTGTTGGCATTGAGATTGAGGCCAAAATGAAGAGGTCTCCTACATCTTCGAGTTCATCATCATCTTCATCTGTTGGGGTTGAAACTGATCTCATTCAATCAGAGAATAAAAGTCCTAAGCATAAAAAAGAGAGTCCCAATTCACCGAAATGTAAGCAGAACCAAACCACAGCTGGTGGCAGAAGAAGCTCCATTTACAGAGGAGTTACCAGGTTTCAGTTACTTTTTCGATTTCTCTTTGCAATTTTTCTTAATGGGTTTTCAATTGCATCATTTGCATGTAACTTCGTGCCTTTGATCAACAGGCATAGGTGGACAGGGAGGTTTGAAGCTCATTTATGGGACAAGACTTCTTGGAACAGCATTCAGAACAAGAAGGGACGACAAGGTAATTTTCCTTGAATAGTGAGAAAAATGTTATTATATTAAGAAAAAAAAAATAAAAAAAAAAATAATAAACAATTGAGAGGAAATCAAAGAGATCTATTATCTTTTGTTTATTATTTTCGCTGTGTATTTTTTTAATAGTTATTATTATCTATTCTGACCTTGTTTTATTCCTGATATCTCTGTCATTGCAACGTTCGTATACGCATTTGTGGCTGTTATAGTTTATTTGGGTAAGTCCTTTCTCATGTACTTTGAGATCTCACAGTATCCTAGTCAGCTTTTCATTTTTTTGCAATTTTTAATTGTACTGCACTACCCCTTTTTCCAAATTAAGGTCAAGAAAGATTCTGATCATGATGCGGTGACTTGGACCCATTTCTCCAATTTTAATTTAATTATTTGTTTTGTTCATATAGGGGCATATGAATCTGAAGAAGCTGCAGCTCGTACCTATGATCTTGCAGCCCTTAAGTATTGGGGAAAGAAGGCAACCTTGAATTTCCCGGTATATTAATTTATTTTAATTTAATTTTTATGTATAAGGTTATAATAAAATAATTAAAATATTGTATCTAACATCATTACTTAATTGTGCATGAACTGTGCAGATAGAAACATATACCAAAGACATTGAGGAAATGGAGAAGACCACAAAAGAAGAATACCTGGCTTCTTTGCGGCGGCAAAGCAGTGGCTTTTCTAGGGGCGTTTCTAAGTATCGTGGGGTGGCTAGGTTAGTTGCATTGAAATGATATGTTCACATCATTAATATCTTGGATTGTTTTTTTATTTTTTCACTACTCACTTTTACCAGGTTTGTGTGGGTACCAATTCTTGTACAAGAATTGAAGCAATGTAAAATTGACACCACTCTAGTTATAGGCACATTTTGTCTTTTGCTTTGGAATTAAACATCTCAGATGGTGCAATTTTTTTAATAAAATATATATTATGTTATTAATACAGACCATACATTTGAATTTGAATAGGCATCACCATAATGGTCGCTGGGAAGCTCGCATTGGAAGAGTATCTGGTAACAAGTACATCTACTTGGGGACATATAGTAAGTTGTCTCTTCTTTTTCTTCTAATATAAAATTATTTCGAATTTCTGGATTCTGAGAAAGCATTTTAATGAAACTAAGGTGAATTCTTAGAAATTCTATAGGAAAATATAAAGAATTGTAATATATATTTGATAACTAACTGTAATTTTCTCTTTCTAATTAAGCAAACCAAGCCTAGTAAAAAGATGTCAGATGACATGTGACAATCCATAAGCGGGGAAAGTACAATTTGTAGACCACAAAGCACTAATTTCCAATTTGTATCGCATGAAATTCATTTACCTCCAGCAAAAGAAATTTGTTCCGTTGTATCATCAAAAGCGTAAATTGCACATAATTAATAGATGTTTTTTTCACCGTATATTATTCAGTCTCCTAGAATTTTATTGATTTTGATATTAGTCATCCTAGCTAGAGGCATTCATTAATTATATATTTATGCAATTAGACCGATATCTGTCTTGTTTATTTGATAATAATACACCGATATGCATATGCTCACCTCTTATCCCATAATTATAAGTAACTAGTAGCTTCTTCTAAATTTCATTTTTTTTAAATGACAAAGATGCAATACAGTTGGAAAACTGCAGTTCTAATAAGTACTGACAATGAAATCGGTTAAAGGTACCGATTTTAGCTCCATGTGTGGGTTGTGCTCGTTGCATGCACTGTAACTGCAGTACTGTTGTCTACTAGCTACAGTATCGATTTCTGGTATGACAGTATGAATCACATAAAAATTAAAGCATAGGAAAGTCACCGCTGCAAGCGCTAAGTAGTAAGGCACGTGTACTCCCTTGTCCCCTATAATGTGCGAAACAAGGGTCGGTTTTTATTATTATTATTATCATAATAATGTGAGAAATGTAGCTATTAAGTGTTAATTTTAAATTTAAATATTTGATGAAAATAATGCAGATAAATACACATAAAATATATATTCAATGCTGGTGCGTGATTTGTGCAAAAATAAATGAATGTTTGTATGCAGTGTACATGGTGAGATGTGCGCACATGATAAGTGCACACTCATTTTTTACAAGTCGTGCACAGCCTTCATTCGTTACTTGAGAGACTTGAACGTGTACATTTTATGTGCATCTTATTATATTATTTTAACAAAATATTTGAATTTTTAAAAAATGCTAACTTTCAACACTAAACAGGTAAAAAAAGCCCTTTTTGAATTTTTATTTTTGGGGTAATAGCTCTTCTATTTGCTTTTAACAGAGCCAAAGTTGTGCTAGTCACATGTCCACAATTCTAGTTCTTGTGCAACCACACTGATTTTTTTTTTAATAAATTGTGACATATTATAGACGTATTTGCATACCACTTGATAGAAAGATGTTTATGTGTCATACCTCAAATTTAAATATTGTTATGTGCAAAGATTTTTGTTAAAATGAAAAAATTGTCTAAATAATGTTGTTGTACTATTTACCTATGTTTCATGCACAATTAGTTGGCCAAGTCCAATCTAACATTTGACTATAGAGACCCTAAATGGCCCCCATTCGGCTATTCCCAGTAGACAAGCATGTCGGAGGATACAGCGGATCCTTGACTAGTACTTTTTTTTTTTTTCCCTTAGCACAATCCCTGACTAGTACTTTGTTCATAAAATGATTCAGAGTTCATGCCATATCCACAATCTCCTGCAAACATGTCGGTCAAAAGTAATAATTAAAAATTTGTCAATCTCAAAAGTATAAATAAAATGAAGTTTTGTGAAATATTTTTATATTAAGCCATAAAAGCTATAATAAAATTAAAAAGAAAACTAGATCAGGACACAACACCCTAACAACTTTTCACACCAAAAAATCCAGTGGACACGTGCGTTCTAATGCTGGCAGTGATACTCTAACTTCGTGAGATTCTATGCATAAAGTTATTTTTTTTGCAAATTTTATTCTTTCATGAATTAATAAGTCACCAACAATTTTTTAATTACTACTCTATTTTTTTTAGTACATAATTATTACTTTTTTATTAATTGCTAATCTTTTGGTATAATTTTTCCGTTGATTTGAACCTTGAAGAAACTCAAGAGGAGGCAGCTATGGCATATGATATGGCAGCAATAGAGTACAGAGGAATCAAAGCAGTGACAAATTTTGATATAAGCAAATATACTGACAAAATAAAGAAGAAAAATGACCCATCGCAACAAACAGAACCAGTAACAGAAATAGCTCATAACTCCTCTGATTCTGAAGAGACACAGGTAGAACCAACAATTGCATCCCCACCTGAAAATCTGCCCCAGCAACAACAGGAACAGCAGCAACAAGTTCAACAGAACCATATCCCTCTAAGTGAGGAATCATCACTAGTAGCTGTTATGGACAATATCCTTGAGCAGGACTTACCATGGAGCTGTCTGTATAATGGGTTATTTCCCATTCAAGACCCAGACTTGGCTTTCAGCAAATCTGAGGATTTAATGGACATGTTTGATGATGCAGGCTTTGAGGAAGATATTGATGTTCTGTTAAACACAGAACCTGCTGATAGTGATATCAATACGATTGCAGTTTTGAATAGTATTGAAGGCGGAGTTACCGATGTAGCTGCTAATAAGGAGGAGAAGATATTATCCTTAACTTCACCATCATCTACAACAGCTACAGTTTCTTGAGAAGGTTTTGGATGAGGTACATGGAACTTTATGGAGATTGTTGGGTTTGTTTTGTATGGTGTTGGGATCTGTTCTGTTAGGTGGATTAGTGCGAGCCCATTGGGTGTGTGACTTGTGAAAAATGTTCATGTGTTTTAGGACATTTAGGCTCTGGTGAAGTGTTCATTGGTTTAATGTTTTGACTTTTATCTTCCCTTATCTTTTATTTTAGACTTGAATTTTAGTAGATTTAAAATATTTGAAAAACAAAATAGTCCTTTCGGTGCAAACCTTTTTTTACTTTTAAAAAAGTCAGAGGATAGCTCATGAGATGGAGTAAGAGGTGTAGAGGCCTTATAGGAAATTGAACTTTGTCTCATACTCTTTTAATAGACAATGCCATGTAATGTCATATAAGGTCAAAAACCAATTGTTCTATGTTAAACAACCTGAGCTTCCATTGCTTTTGCTTTTTTATTTTGTATTGAGATCTGAATCCTGATCACTCTGGTTTATTCTATGTGTTGTACAGCTAATCTTCATCTACGGTAAAGTAAATAACTTTGAAAAATTATAATATTCGAAATTATCACCGCTTCGTAACCACTTTTTCCTCTGAAATATACTATTTTATTGAAAACAAAGAATTGTACAGTTAAATATTAGAGATTTATTAAAAGGTAAAATATTTTAAATTTATTAATTGACATCATCTCATTGTCGTTTTTTCAAAAATTATATTTATATTGAAATTAGCAGTCATATATTAATACAAGCTATGAATTATGATAATTAAATAAATAATAAACACAAATATTAAGATAGAATTATACTCTAATCATGATAAAACTTAAATTATTACTTAAAAATATTAATACTATATTGATTGTCTTTTATGATGTATAAGTGAAACATTCTAGTTAAAATATAATAAGTTAAAATTTATTTTACTTTAAATATAAAAGTTAATTTACAAACTAATTAAAATCACATATATTTTCAATGAATTTAAAATATGAGAATGATTTTATACATGTGAAAAAAGAAAGCAACATTGTTAAAAATATAAATATATTTATGTTATCAAAAAATATATATATATATTCATAAAGGTCTACCTTAACAACCAACCTCATTGAGACAATGTTAAGTTTTTCTTATCTCCCAAATTGGGGTTTCTTGGTAGCCTCCCTCTATCACCCTTATAACTAAGTTTTTGCATTTTGTAATACTAGTGCATTATTCGTGCGATGCACGAGAGAAAAAAATCAAATTTTTTGTTTTTGAATTTTTTAATACTAGTGCATTATCCGTGCGATGCACGAGAGAAAAAGATCAAATTTTTTGCCGGCGATCGTCGTTGGTTAATCTCTAAAAGAAAGAATGTGTCACTATATTCTTATATATATATATATATATATATATATATATATATATATATATTAGTGTATTATTCATGCGATGTAAGAAAAAAAATCGGTTTATTTGTCTCGTAAAATTAATGCAAATCATAAAAATATATCGCTGCATTTTATGCAATTAAGATAATGAATGATATGTACCAAATTAAAAAAAAAAAGATAATAAATGATCTTTTGAATTATCACATTTCTTTTTTGGTAAACTGAATTACCACATTTAATTTTAACTATAAAGTGTTTGTTAGAATATTAAACGTACTAACTTAAATATTTAACCAACTCTACATGTACAAAATATTGGAGTTAGGTACTTATAGTGTTAGATAGACAGTAACGGCCCTCCGACCGAGCTTATTTTGTCATCTCTAACTGTCAACATTTTATATCAATATGGTTTGTTAGACAACAAATATAAGAAAAAAAAACATGTTGGTGGGCTAACCACGATTCGAACCCATTTTATCACCTTTAATTGTCAGCATTTTATATCAACATGTAATAAATGAAGAGTTGTCTCTAAATCGACTTTTCTGACGTGTGTGTATTTGTGACATATATATTAGATGAAGAGTTGATAAATATTTGAGTTATTACATTTAATATTCTAACAAACACTTAGCCACACAAAGACGGAGTTGTTAGACAGTAAATATAAGAAGAAGAAAAATGTGTTGGCCGGCAGGGTGGGTCGGCCCTCTAGGCCAAAACCAATTTGTTATCTCTAACTATCAACAGTTTATGTTAGCATGTAAAGTTTTTATATTTAAAAATAATAAGCTATACCTGATTTATATTTTAAAGTCACATAAAATTTTAAAAAAATAAATATAATTATAAGTGTAATTTTACTTTGATTTTAAGTATATATATTCAATTATTTTGTTTTACTTTTTAAAGAATTGGCCGATATTACTCCACAATTCGATATCATGGCTAATTTTTTTGATTGTAAATGTAACAACAACCCCAATTAAAATAAATAAGTAAAACTCCTTCCATTTGTTTATCTCATAAAAGTTAACGCAAATCGTAAAAGTATATCATTGTATTTTAACTTGTCTTGTAGTCATTCAAAAATTATGTAGTTTGACTCGGCTTCTTTCAGTATTTATCAGAGATGGACTTTCATTTATCACAATCTGATTGTTCATTTTGCTTTGATGCTTGTTTATGAAATATTTACAACACTAATCCAATGATCTTAGCCACACAAAGGCAAGTTTGTTGTACAGTAAATATATATATATATATATATATATATAAATATGAGAAAAATATTTCTACAGTTACTGCAGATAAATTATCTGTATTTACTCCTAAAACGACGTCATTTTGGGATTGAAATATTAAAAATTATAATTATAAAGACTATAATAACCTGAAATAAATTAAAATTACAAAAACACTATGATTTTCGCCAAAAACGACGTCGTATTGGGCTTACTGCAGTTAACTTATTTGAAGTAACTGTAAAAAAAATGAACCATATATATATATATATATATATATATATAAGTGTTGTCGGGTAGGGCAGGTCGAGCCCATTTTGCCACCTCTAGCCGCCAGCACTTAATATCTGCATGTAATAGGTTTTTATATTTATCTATAAAAAAAAAGGTTCTTATAATCGCGTCTATATTACTGTCTATCTATGTTTTTTATAGTTGCCTCTAAATCAATTCTTTGAGATGTGTGTCTTTTTTACATATATATTAGATGAAGAGTTGAAAAATATTTAAGTTATAATGTTTAATATTCTAACAAACACTTCATAGTTGGCAGGCTAAATAACATTAAAATAATAATATATTGCAATATATTGAATTGTCATTCCTTTTAATTGAGTAATTAATAAGAATAAATAATTATTTTTTTTCTAGGATTTATGACCTTAGTATTTGGAACTTTACAAATTAGTATTTATAAAATTGAAATCAGATTTAGGAATTTAATTATAAAAGATAAAAAATGAAATTTTAATTTAATTATAAAAATGTGTTGGCGGGTTAACTCACCCGTTCGACGGGCTGACCCTTTAAACGTGTTGAAATTTTCTCTATTTGTATTATTTTTTAAAGTTAAATTTCTAATTTCTTTTATTTATAGTATGAATATGTCATTTCTTAATTTTTTGCATTTAAATTTCAAATTTAAACTATTTTTTTTATCAAATATACATATATTTTTATAATTTAAAAAAAAATTCATTTAATCTCGAATTTTTTTATTAAATTTAAATGTATTATATACATATTTTTTCCACTATAGAAATATTAAATACTAAACTCTTTTCCTACCTATCAAGTTGAAATTCAAATTTAAAAAGTTTGGACTTTAAATATTAAATATTTTTCCACCCAATAGACATAATAAAAAAACATTATTAACAGGCTTAATGGCAAACATCTTTTTACGATGCAGGAGTTCGATGGTCACTGGTCATTGAATGGTCATTTAATTTTATAGTGATTAAATTTTTATAATTTATTTTTTACAAAATGATAGATGTCATTTTTTTATTTAAATTAAAAATTTGAATTCTTTTGTATTGATTATACATATTTTTTGTAAAATTAGTTTTTATCTCTTAATTTATAATTTTTATATTGTTATACACATATATTTAAAAAATTTATGTTAAATACTTTAAAAAAAAAATACTTGTACGATTTTTTTTTTCTCTTTTTGAATTATTTTTTTAAGTTCAAATTTTTAATTTTATTTTCTTTTAAAGTCTAAATAAGTTATTCTTATCTTTTTGCAGTCAAAATTTTAAATTTAAATTCTTTTTTATCAACTCTACATATATTTTTATAAATTTAAATATTTCTTCATTTAATCTATAATTTTGTATTACATTTAAAATTATTATTATTATTATTATTATATATATATATATAGAGAGAGAGAGGGGTTATAGTTATTACCTCTCTTATTTACTACCTCTTACTACAAAATTTTAACCGTTGATTTCCGTCAATCTTACTGTTATAATTTATTATAAATTAATAATTAATTAATAAGTATGACCCAATAAATTACAACCATTATATTAACGGAAATCAACGGCCACACACACACACACATATTTGCCACTAAAGAAACACTAAATGCTGAACTCTTTTCTTACCTATCAAGTTCAAAATTCAAATTTAAATAGTTTGAATTTTAAATTTAAATATTTTTCACCTAATAGACATAATAATAAACACTATTAATAGACTTAACAATTTTTCATGCAGAAAATAGTGAAAAACATTAAAATAATTTGTAAACTTCTTTAATTGCTAACATCTTTTTACGATGCAAGAGTTGGATGGTCACTGAAGAATCATTAAATTCTATAGTGATTAAATTTTTAAAATTTGTTTTTTACTGAATAATAGATAGCTCTTTTATTTAAATTTAAATTTTAAACTTTTTGGTACTTTTTTATACATAATTCTTTTGTATTAATTATACTTATTTTTTGAAAAATTAATTTTTGCCTTTTAATTTATAATTTTTTTATGAGTTATACATATATATTTAAAATTTTTATTTTAAAAATTATAAAAAATACTTGTACGAATTTTTATTCTCTTTTTGTGTTATATTTTTAAGTTAAAATTTTCATTTATTTTCTTTTAAAGTATAAATATGTAATTCTAATTTTTTTTGTTAAATTTCAAACTTAAATTATTGTTTTATCAATTCTACATATATTTTTATAATTTAA